GAGTAACCTGAGCGGGTGACTTCCCAAAGAGAAGCCACCTGGCCTCTGAAAGGACACAATTTGGCAAACCAAAAAAATGGCCACACGCCAAGTGGAGTCAGAAGGCCCGCCCAGGGCCTTGTCCGTGGCCGCGTGCTCGGCTGGGCCAGCGCCAGCTCTGTGCCCAGCGACATCGGAGCTGGCAGCGCCCTCTGCTGAGTGCTACTGGGTGGCGGTGCCCAGAGCCGGGCCGGGCCGCCCGTCGGTGGCCTGCTGAGCCACGGAGGCCGCCTCCCCGCAGGGCACGGCTGCCACGGCGCCTGCGCCAACCCTCCCCTGGCTGGAATCCCCAGATGGGTCTTTGGTGCTGAGTTCCTGTCTCCCAACCACCCAGAGAACCGGCCCCTCTCACGGCAGACGTGGTACTCTGGGTCCTCCTGGTGGGACAGGTGAGCCCCAGCTGTGGGCTCTGGGGGACCGAGGCCCTCAGGCCTCCCGACTCTGACCCCCCGAGGCCGGCCTTGCCCGCGAAGGCGCCGCGCACGGGCAGCCTGGGCTCACGCGCCACAGTGGGAGCGGCACGAGGACAAACTGGTTTCTAAGGTCACTCAACAAACCAAGCAGCAGCGGCTGGGTTGGCGGCGGGAAGTGGCCGCGGTCGGCGTCGGAGGCCTGCGAGGAAGGAGCCCCCGGGACGCCTGCGCCGAGGGCCACCGCTCTCCCACGGCGGCCCGGCCGCCACCCGCGGGGCTCACCGTTGCCGCAGGTGTGGTTAGTGACGCACGAGGTCCCCAGCTGCGTGAAGCCTGTCCTGCACCGGCTACAGTTTCTGCTGGAACCTTCGCAACTCAAGCAGTTCTCGTCGCACCTGTGTGGGGACACGGGTTCCCACTGCTGTTGGGGGAACAGGCCCAGGCGCTCCAGGCCCCCTTCCTGCAGCCCGTCTCCCCTCCTGAGCTGGGACGCGCCCGCCACTCCCCTCGCCACCGCATCGCCCACAAGGGCCTGAAACCCCAGCCGAGCTTTCGCAGGTCCTGCCTCCTGCTGGGTGGCTCTACGCCCTGGGAGGTGACGATGATGCTCACAGCCACTGGCAGGGGCGGAGGGCAGGCCCAGGTCTCCCAGACCTTCAGTGGCACCTGGGCGGGATGGCGCCCCCCGCAGGGAGCTCCATGTGCAGTGCAGTCAGGCAGGCTGCACCCGGGGATGTGACAAGCCTGATCCCACAGCCTGGGGACTGCTGCTGCCGGCCAGGCTAGGCTCCCCCTGTGGCGACACCGGCCTCTGCCCCAGGGCACGGGTGCCCGTCCAGTCCTGCCCACGGAGGACCCGGCGCCGTTGCTGAGGCAGGTGACTGGGGCCTCAGGGCCTCGGGCCGCGAGCAGAGGTTGGTTTTACTGGGACACAGCCACACTCACTGAGCTTCGTGCCGCCTGAGTCTGCTCTCCGGGTGGCGGGGCGAGCAGCCGTGACAGACAGACATTGTGTGGCCTGCGAAGCCCAAGCCTCTGACCATCGGGCCCTACGGAAGAGCCCACCGGTGCCAACCGGGTGGCGGCTCTGCACCCACACAGCCCCTGGTGGCTGGGTCTCCGCGCTGCTCCGGTCTGTCACCAGCCCTCCAGGTCCCTACAGCTACAGCCCAGACAGGCCCCAGAAGTGGGGTTCGGGTGGGGTGGACAGGGCATCCGGGCAGGAGTCTGGCTCGGCAGACCCCTGGGCCTGCCCTGTGTGGGCAGTTCTCGGCTTATGACAGATGCCACCTGCCTGGCCACTCGGCATGGCCTTTTTCCAAAGTGGCCCTGAGCGTCACTGAGCGCCCGCCCAGAGCCCCCGCGTGCCCTCGACCTGCACGGAAGGCGGTTTTTATTCTTCCAGTGAAGCTGGAGTTCAGGTCATCACCTGTCACCTACGTTGCAGATGTTGAGTTCCGGGGGCCAAACCCCAGCGGGGCCAGGCCTCAGCTCCTCGACCAGCGGCGAGAGGCCGCGCCCCGCCCCGCAGCCCGGAGGGGAGGGCGCCCCCCCCCCCCTCACTCCAGGGAGCCCCCAGGGCCTGGTCTTGCCTGCTGCAGCTCCTGGTGGCCTGGCCACAGGCCCCTGATGCCACACACAGGGTCTGGCTCCTCCTGGGACCGCCCCCGCCCGGCCTCGTACAGATGATGCCCCAGTGAGGCTGGAGCGAGGGCCTCGCAGAGATGCCGCGTCTGGGGCTCGGCCATCTGCCGGGCTGGGCCGGGCTGAGCCGATGCTGTTTCCACTTCTGTGGGTGGCGCGGTCACAGTCGACCAGCTGGACGCAGCTTCCTTTCTTCTGTAAACGCGGACTCCCCGAGCTCTGGGGTCGCCCTGGCAGCCGCTGCAGGCGTGTCGGTTTCTGACTGCTGTGTGACAAATCGCAAGCACCGCAGCTTAAGCCACCGCCTTCCGGCGTGTCGGGTCGACAGGCAGCAGCCTGGGCAGCTGTGGAAGTCCGGGTTCTCTGCTCAGGGCCTCGCAGGCCCCGGGGCAAGGTGTCAGCCAGCTCCGGAGAAGCATCGAGCATCGCGCTGCTCCCAGGGAGTGGGGATGGCCCCCGGCTCCCCCTCAAACCGTCCCGGGGCCCCTGCTTCTCTGAAAGACCATCTTGGCTCATCTTTGTCGGATTATAGGGTGGCCGTGCCAGCGGGAGGCCCTCTGGAACAGGGGGCTTCCAGACGCCTCCGGTTCTGCGGCCCTCCGTGGGGCCTAGTTCACCCCCAAACTCGGGAAGGGCCGGGATGCCCGCTGCAGATGCTGGGCGCTCCCGCCAGCCTTCCATCACCCGTCTGCTCCAGGCGACAGCCATCGAAGTCTCGCTGAACTTCTGCCGGGCCGGAATGCAGCAGGGGACGCTGGGGGATCGCTGTCCCCACGCACCCAGAAGAGGCCGAGAGTGTGCAGGGTACGGACGCAGGACTGTGAGGGGGCGGCCGGCCCTCGGGCACCTTGTGCTCTGCCTTCCGGGGGGGTCCCTTCCTGCCGCGGGCTTCCCAGAACCTCTTTGGAGAATGCTGGTCGCGGGCCGTTCTCAGGTTCGGGTCCCGGCTCTGACGGTCTTTTTTGCGCTGTTTGCCTGCGTGCTGGCCCGGGTTTCCGCATCCAGGCCCCGGCTGGCCACTTGCGTCCCAGAAGCTGCCCAGGGCCGGTCACAGGGCCACTCAGCATGCCACGGCCCGGAGGACGCCAGGCTCTCGATAGCTGTGCTGCCTCAGCGAGGGCCGCCTGCAGAACAAGCAGGACCGAGGCCGTCCCGAGGGAGCATCCGCTCCGCAGGGGCCGCCGGAGCCAGGGGGCTCCGCAGCCGGGAGCACCACAAGCGGGCGTGGGGTTGGCTGCCCTGCCCAGCGCTCCTCCTGGGTCTAGCTCCGGTTCCCGGCGGGTTGGCCCAGCAATGGACCCCTCTCCAGGGCTGAGAGCCGGCCCTCCGTGAAGGTGGGTGCGGGAAGGTCCTGCCCTGATGCCCAGGGCCCCGCGGGGGCCTCCTGCCCGCGGCGTGCTGGCTGCCACACTGGGCGATGCGCGCATTCTCTGCCCAGGGCGTCTGGCCAACGGGAGTGACTGGCCCTCGTCCCTCATTGTCCTTAGGCTGCCGTCTCTGGTGTTGTCACCCTCGAACCAGCTGGCTGGTTAAGACGCAGAGCTGACCTCAGACGCCCGCAGTGGGGTCCCGAGTGGCCGCTTCCCTATCTCGAACCGGCTGCGCCGAGGGGCCGAGCCCCGCGCAGAGCCCCTCGGTGGGTCACGCAGGACCGGGGCTGGGTGGGCTTCACTGGCTTGCTCAGAGG